ACATGTAAGCTGAACGTTAAGCAAAAGTAGCATGTTTAAACATATTTTGGCGTCAGGTTGTCCTTATCTGATAGTTACGGGCTATCGGACTGTAGTCGCGAACTCCCACAGGATTGCTAGCCACACATTTTTTTGTGTGAGAGTTAAAGTCTATCCTGATTGAACTCCTGACGATCTAACATCTGCCATGCATTCAACGGTGATCTTTTGTGAGCCAAAGGAGACGAGTGACTACTCTGTCGCTTCAAAATATTCGTTCATATAATCGATAATGTCACGGAATGCATTTCACGGTGGCTGCTGCGCACTGAAATGTCCATACATGTAATGAACTGCGAGGTATACATGCCAACCTTCCAAGTTAAAGTGATGCGTAAGAACAAATATCTCGCTAATGTCGAGGAATCATCGCATGCACGTTGGTATTATTCAGGCGGCAAGCTAACGAAGGAAATGCCCTTCGATGCTGACGGGGCTCGTGCCCGCATGCATCGTCAATAGTTTCACTGTTAGTAGAATATGATAAACCGATTACATTTAAAGAAGGAAAAGCAAATGAAAAGGAGGTTATGTTCCCTAACATCAAGGTCAAGAGCCTGTCCATACTGAAAGACAGTCTATAAGGGCAACTAAACTGACAGCAGCGTCAATTTGATGTTCTGTCCAACCAATCGTGCGGCAACTAGTTGCATGATGTTTTGTTTATTTGGTATAGAATAATGCAGTTTCGAGTTAGCCGCCGGCTATATACCAAACCAACACAAAAATCGCCCTGTGCCTCCTCATTCTATTGGCGCAAAGTAGCATCTTAACCCGATTGTTCCTGTTGAAGCTATTAACGTTTTTGTACATGCCACTCCCAGAGGCTACTAAACTGGCAAATCACATGAATAATTTATTGTTTACGAGTAGCTTATGCACTGAAAACGTGAGCCGATAACGCGAGGCTAAGGTGAGTGGCTCATAGTACAATTCGCCACCCACCCCAGTTATCACTACTCGATAACTGCCAAGTCCAACTACGCGATGTATGCCCACAAAAGCGCAATTATAGTCCTGACTATTGTTGTTATGCTGGCCTTCGTCATTGAGGCAACGACAGCTACCAGTTCGAATACGTTAAACGCCAATACTCTGACATCGCGTCGTACTCTCGACGCAAGTTTGAATGGCAATTATACATTCGAAGACAGAGGTTTCTCTGGTATGACGAAGATGAATGATCTCGTTCATGGTGGAACGGATAAACTACACAAGCTCGCTGAGTCCGCCAAGACTATGTTCACGCCCAAGTCCGCAATTGGCAACCTCTTCTTGCAGTTCAAACTCGATAAAGTGGAGTCGAATGTGTTCAAGAGCAACGAATTCGAAAAATGGGCCAATTCTGTTACCAAAGCTTATAAGACAAGCCCAGAGGCTGCGGACACAGCGATGCTCACAACGTTGTCAGCCCGATATGGCGATGAATCTGTTGCCAACATGCTAGCATATGCAAGTGGCATAATCCGATGATTAAAAGACTAGATAAAGCACAGCTCAACAAGTGGATGGATGACGATGAAAGGCGGACGACATTTACAGACTTCTAAAACTTGAAGAAGAAGGCAGTCAGCTTCTCAATAGCCCAAAGTTGAATATGTGGATTAACTACATGCTAAAGCTGGGCAACAATCTAGACGCATCTCTGCTACTCAAGCTGAGAACTCACTATGACGATGCAGGACTAGCAAAAATGCTTTATTTTTCTCAGAGAGACCCTACCACGAAACAAGTTGCTTTAAACTTGGAGGCGTTGCAGCATGCTAATCGGAAGAAAGACGGTACAGTAATAGCGTGATCGACTTCTTCAAGTTAAACGAAGAAGGCACGCGAGATCTGAGAAACCGGGTGTTAAACACTTGGATCTCTTATGTGGTAGCGATGGAGAGAAAGTTGGATCCATATACGTTATTATTGTTGGTGATCAAGAAGCAAGGCTATCGATGTTCAAGTGACGGAGATGATTAATTCAGCGAAACAAGATATTCACACCGGGTCCATTGCCTCTAAATGGAGGAGGCACAATTCCTGAAATGGTCAAAAGATGGTAATAGCGACGAAGATCTCTCTAAGAGACTTGGCCTCAACAAAGCAGGAGACAAGGTGTTTGAGAGCCCAGTGTTTAGTACTTGGGTTACTTGGGTCACCTATCTGAACAAGCAAAATGCCGATCCAGATCTGGCCATGTTCTCGATCCTGCGAAAACGATTCGGTGTTGAAGGTTTGTCGAACGTAGTCACGAGCGCGACAAAGCTTGAGAGTACGAGTGCCAAAGAGATCGCAGAGAAGTTACAGCTGGAAATCTGGCGGACGAATGCGAAAAGCTCAGATGGCGTTTTCAATCGTCTTAAATTGAACGAGAAAGGCGACGATATTTTACAAAGTCCTGCATTAAGCACGTGGGTTGAATATGTGCTGAGATTAAGCAGTTTCAAGAAGGATAAATTCCTGCCTATCACGGAATTGGAGAAACGTTTCGAAAGTGAAAAACTGGCACGAATGTTGGCCAGTTCGATATCGCGGAGCAAGGAGGGGGTTATTGACGACTTGCAAGAGTTGCATTTCGAGAACTGGCGGGCGCTCAAGATAGGCTCACTTAAAATCAATGTCATATTTCTTGGGAGCAACTTAGCCAACGCAAGAGTGAGATCTGATTTCAAAACGTTCGCCTCTAAAAACAATGTCGGATGATCACAAGCCTCGAATAGTACTCTCTTCGATTGGGCTATCCTCCGTAGTAGTAGAAGTAGTAGTAAAATTATTATGGTACTACTATTACGACTTGGAAATTGCTATGATGTCGTGCATAGTATTCTCTGAACATTATTTTAAGGCCAGGGCTTTGTTATAATAGTACTTTGGGAGTAACTACGAAAACTAGAACGTTCTTAAGCTCCCTATTCCCTTGACATTGTACTATTTTTCTCCCTAAACTTGCGCTTTTACCATCTAAAAAAAAGGTTTCTACTTCTCTCCTCAGAGCTCCACTCCACCTTCCCAATCACTCGGATTCATTCGCTGGAACGTGAGTTTAATTGGAGTCTGCGCCATCAACTTGGCAAAGAATTTCGTCAACACCGAGCCTGATCCCTCCAGTCCAAGATCCGAGACATAGGCGTCACCCACGCGAATCAGCACGTCGCCTACACGCACATTGTGGAAACTTCTGCAGGTACTACGCTCCGTATTGAGCAGCATACGTAAGAACAGCTGCGGTTCTCGATCATCGAACTCAAACTCGTTCTCTGCAGTGTAGATTCGCTGCACTGAGAAGGCGAACTCGCCAGATCTCCACGTCACCTCGTAGAAGTACGACGGGTCCAGTACAAACGTCGAGGATCCGCTAGATAAACCCGACAGAACGCCAATTGACGGTGGCAAGTGGTTCTTCAAGTCCATAGGAGCTCGAGCTCGTGAGCGACGGACGTAGCTGGCGACTGAAGTGGAAGAAATTGGCGGCGGCATTCGGTTGCGTCGGGTTCGACCTGTAGTGGCAGGGATTGGAGCACGAGATGAAGGGTACGCAGACGACGCTGGAGTGTACGACATGGGCGCTGGTTTGCTCTTGGGTGACTGTTTTCCGTTCGCTGAGGGCACAGGAGATCCGATTTCAGACACAGAGCAACTGCTCGCGCGGCCTAAGGCATGCAGCGCCAGGTCTCTCGCTGTCAATCTGGAGGTTGGAGCTTGTTCCTCTTCGTCTTCTTCCTTGACAGTCGACAGCTCGGTAGCTGGCGGGGTTGGCACATCCTCTTCTAAGAGCTCGTTATCAACTTTAACCACTTCGGTCTCCGTTTCCTCGTCACTCTCGTCTGAATACGCGTCCAAATCCACATCCACTTCCAGTACATGCGCCTCAAACATGGAATATCCAGACGACGACAGGAACTCGGAATCACTGTCAAACTCGTAGCTATCGTCCGTGTCGTATGAAGTGTCTCCTGCATCATCCGACTTTGGCTCTTCCGGTACCGGTACCACCGATACTGGCGGAGATTTCACTACTTCAGCCACTGCAGCGGTCGACTTGACCGTCTCCTGCTCCTGGTTATCCGACTCGGACGACACCGTTTGCTCAGCATCCGTGTCCGCCTCAACCTCGGGCGTTTCTTCCTTTTCCAGCGGTTCCACAGCTTCTGGAGCGTCAATTTCCGGTCTTACTTCCGGTTTCTCTGGCTTGGACTTGTCTGAGCGTCGTCTAGGCATCATATCATCAAAGGCCGATACCTTAATGTCCGATTTGGGCGGTGGGTTGCTGATGGAGCTGCGTCGCGTACGCCCCACTGGAGACGTGGGGATCGCCTGTGCAATGTCGTCGTAAGCCGAGGGTTTGATCGCCGAGCTCGGTGGCTTCTCTAGAGACGACGAGCGTCTGCCACGCGTCGCTGCAATGGGCGACGAAGGGCCCGATCCCTTGGCTCGCGCGTTGATGTTCTTGATCTCCTGCTCGCGATGACGCTGATGACGCGCCTCCCGCTCTTTCAGCTGCTGATGACGTCGCTTCCTCTCTTCGCTCTCCCGTTCTTTCTTCTCCTCTTCGTGCTGTTCGAAGCGAACACGCGACGTCGGCGGACGTGCAATACCCGAGCGCATAGCAGACGGCGGGCCGTTCACAGCCGTATTATAACTAGAACTAGGCGCTCGGTGTCTGTGTTTGTCGTCCTCTGGTCGTTGCGAGCGACCGCTCTTATGTTGCGAGCCTGTCATCGGCGGACGTGAGCTCGAGTACACCAGATAGGGCGTGGACATGGGCGGAGGGCCGCCATTGAGCGGGTCTGTGTCTTCCTTCGTGTATTTCGACCTGCTCTTGTATTGCTGAGGCGCATATCGTGACTGATGTCTCGAGCTAGACGAAGGAGGAGGACGGCGACTGGAAGGCCCATGATGACGCGCTGTAGAGGGCGGTGGTGGTAGTCCGTGGTGCCGCATCGTAGAGGGCGGCGCCCTGGACGCTGTGGCTGGCATGTCCTCCATCAGGACGCTCTTTACAGGCGGCGCGCGCATGGCGCTGCTGTATTCGGACGACGGAATGTACGCGGACCCGACGCTGCCGGAGCTGCCCGGCGAGTTACGCGCCAGGCGACGCTGCGCGCGCTCGAGCTTGGAGCGGATCTGGTCCATCATGGCGCGCTCGGCCGTGAGCGGCGCGTCGGCCGTGGAGCCCGCCGAGCTGCGGCGAGACGTAGGCATGAACTGACTCCTACTACTAGGCGGAGGAAACATGGAGCTACGGGCTGGGAAGGAAATGCGCGAGTGCGGAATTGCCTCTGCCAAGGTTTCTTCTCTGCCATGGCGGGTTGGGTGCGGACTCGGGGAATGACGGTTGACTGGAAAGGTTTCTTGACTTGATGTTTGTATGCTGAACCGTTACAAATTGAAGGACTCCATTAGACAAAGTAGCATTTTTTTTTTTTTTTTATTGCTGGAAGGACGATGGGTTGTTCTCCTGATCAACTTGGCAACTTGCTCGTGCTTTTTGGGACGTGGTGAACAAAGTTAGTGTTGCGTGGATGGAGTCTGCAGTCTGCATTGGTTGCAGTGGCAAGGATGCTAGTTGAGGGGGTCGTTTTGTGGGGGTATTTGTATGTGTGTAATGTATGAGCTGGTGCGCGTGCGACCCCAATTTCACACACGGCGAAAACGGCCATAGCGGTTGCAACGACTAAGGTTTCGACACGCCTGCACGTATCTGGGACGCTGCGAGACTCTCAGGATGCACCGCCTTCAGGCAAGAGCCTTTGAATCAATAGCTTTGACAGCGAAGGTGTCGCATTGGAACCCAACGCACCCGACGTCGGAGCCTGTCGCAGCTTGAAGGACACTCGGAGACCACTGAATTCTTGAAGCACCATGTGGTAAGTTGGTCTGTAACTTCACAACATACTCCGGAGTATACTGTTCGCTGTTTAGTTTTGTGAATCAGCAGCCTTTCGCCTGGAAGATTTGGTTTCGTTTGAATGCATAGCTCTTACGACCGAGCCTTACAGACATGTCTGATAAAGTAGTTTGAGTGTCTGTGGTCACGCAAGGGCAATAATACGAGCCAGGGTATCAGCAGCAGCAGAGACACATTAGGTTGAGTTGCTTAACGGGGAAGCTAGATCTGTTGAAGCGCAGTTTACTATAGTAGAACATTGATCGCGTGTCAATAACAAATTAAGTATCGAACCTCAATCTTGGTATCCAGGTATTCTTTTTAAGTAAGCAAATTTATTAAAAGATTAAATTTCTTGCGAATGTCAACCGATAGGCAGGAATTTATCCTTTCTTGAAACTGCTTAATCTCAGCACATATTCAACCCACGTGCTTAATGCAGAACTTTGTAAAATATCGTCGCTTTTTTCGTTCAATTTAAGAAGATTGAAAACGTCATCTGAGCTTTTCGCATTCGTCCGCCAGATTTCCAGCTGCAACTTCTCTGCGATCTCTTTGGCACTCGTACTCTCAAGCTTTGTCGCGCTCGTGACTACGTTCGACAAACCTTCATCACCGAATCGTTTTCGCAGGATCGAGAACATGGCCAGATCTGGATCGGCATTTTGCTTATTCAGATAGGTGACCCAAGTAACCCAAGTACTAAACACTGGGCTCTCAAACACCTTGTCTCCTGCTTTGTTGAGTTCAAGTACTTTGAAGATTTCCTCGCGGCTTTTTCCCATCTGCCAACCATTTCTGGAATTGCAGCTCCTCCATATTCTCTACAATAGATTTAGTACGACTGCCTTGTTTCGCAGCATTAATCATCCTCACAGCGTCCACCTCATGGGAACCTGTTCTTTTCAACACCAAGACAAGCGACCCATACGGGTCTTTCAACAATGATTCCACATAAACCGACCACGTTCCTCACATAGGACTCTCGAACAAGTTGTCTCCTGCTTTGTTGAGGCCAAGTCTCTTAGAGAGATCTTCGTCGCTATTACCATCTTTTGACCATTTCAGGAATTGTGCCTCCTCCATTTAGAGGCAATGGACCCGGTGTGAATATCTTGTTTCGCTGAATTAATCATCTCCGCCACTTGAACATCGATAAAGCCTTGCTTCTTGATCACCAACAATAATAATGTATATGGATCCAACTTTCTCTCCATCGTTACCACATAAGAGATCCAAGCGTTTAACATCGTTTTTTTCTCTTCAGAATTGATGTACCTGCTTTGTCAAAGCTCAGTATCTGGAAGACGTCGATCACACTTTGTCATTTTTCATCCATTTCTCTAGCTCCAACGTCTCCATCTTCACAGCAATCGCTTTCGTTTTAGGGTTTTCTTGGATACCACTCGCATTTGTACGAGTCCTAAGTCGTCATAGTGTGATCTACTAGAAATTCGTGGGGATTTTTGCCCAGCTACGACGTGTAGGCCCAACCACAACTTCAATTTGGAACTTTTCAATAGCTTACTGCCTTCTGAATCCACCCTTACAGTCTGTAAATATCAGCAGCATTTCTCCCGTCAGTGTTCCACTTGTTTAGCTCTGAGTTTTCCAGTCTCGTGATGGTTGGTTTGTACTACTGGCGGATGCTAGCATACTGGCAATAGATTCATCGCCATAGCGAGCCGTTAGCGTCATGAGCGTTGCTGTATCGGCCGCCTCCTGGTTTGTCTTGTACGCTTTGGCTGCAGAGCTGGCCCAGTCATTAAATTGGGCGCTCTTAAGTACATTGGATGTCGCTTGATCAACTTTGAACTGTTGGAAGAGCTGGTTGGTGGTGTCGGCGGTGGACGTGGACGTCATCTTAGTCTTGGAAGCCTCAGGGGGTGTCGGTAGTTTTTTTTCGTTCCAACTAGCAGTTTGATACACTAATACTGAGTGACAACATAATGTGCTTTGGCCGCGTAACCGGCTCTACATGGACATCAATGGTCCGTTCGTACTAACCATTATAACATGTATTACTACAATTCTCTATTTTTGGTATTCAGAGTCCTACCCGGGTTGTAACGACGGTGTAATCCTTTGATTATTAATACCTAGTCTCATACGGTATAGATACCCCCCCTCTATATATATATATATATATTGGCTTTTCATTTACACCAACCTTTTGGATATTTATATTATCCGTGAAGGTTGACCCCCATTTCCGGAGAAGATTACAATTAAGTATATATTAGAATTATTCGCAACTTTCGTGTAAGATTTGGGTTGTATCCGATATTTGGTGTACCCATCAGGGTTGCCATCAATCACAAAATTGCTGGCCGTGTCTGTAAATGTAAAATGACTTACATTTATCGACGACCATACCTCGTGTTCTCATGACTAATAACTATACGTTGATGCGTGGAGCACAGCGATCAGTGTGTATACTGGTGCATAGTATATTTTTGAACAGGTCAGAGCGATTACTCTTTATGAAACAAACATTTGTAAACTGCAGAACTAATGGAAGTGCACATTCTCTTTGAGCTGTGGTGCTAAGTTTAAATATGAGGCATCTCCTTGGACTACGAACTCAAGTTCTTTCGCTTGACGGGTTGGATCGGCTCGTTGGCCATCAGTCAGAGGTCACAGCGGTTTTTTTTTTCTGTCTGTGGACTTTCCTCCTCGTACTATACAGATGAATGCATCACTTTCCAATCGAACCCCTACAACTCAAGTGTTCTATCTCCTTGTTTCCCCGCCACTGACATTGTTCTGCTTCGCAGGGAAGTTCGAAATGCTGTTAGTAAACTACACTGCAAGAGTAAGCAGATGCTGCGGCTGTGAAGCAGGCGCAGGAGATGCACCGATGCCAGAGCGTACATCATGGGCATTCAAAACAAAGCCAAGCGTAGCCCCACAAGCGGGGCTCTTGATTCAAAATTTTGCCGCATAAAGCGTCATACTCTATCTCTAGCAATAACACAAAACCTGTTTCTTTAGTTGTTTGGCATCTTCACGAGACGTATTCGATTTGTGGGCTTACTCTCAA